ACAGAAGCAAGGTAAGAACCACATGATCATATGAACAGATGCAGAAGAGTGTTTCAATAAAATCCAACACCATTTCATGATGAAATCCCTGAACAAAACAAATATTGAAGGACTGTACTTGAACTTCATAAAAGCTGTTTATAATAAAATAATAGATAGAATCATACTAAATGGGGAAAAACTAAAATCATTCCCTCTACAGTCAGGAACAAGACAAAGAAGTCCTCTATATCTTGTTCTATTCAACACAGTATTTGAAACACTGGCCAGAGAAAACAACCCAGAGAAAGAAATAAAAGGGATACACATAGGAAAGGAAAGACTCAAGTTATCATTATTTGCACATGACATGATATTCTACATAGAAGACCCAAAGAACGCCACCAAAAACTCTTGAATTAATAACCAACTTCAGCAGTGTAGCAGGATATAAGATCAACGTACAAAATATCAGCATTTCTGAACACCAACAATGAACTCAATGATAAGGAAATTATGAAAACATTCCCATTCACAGTAGCACCAAAAAATTAAATACCTAGGAATTAACCTAACTAAGGAAGTGAAAGACCAAATCTACAGTACTCTGTAAAATGAGATTGAACAGGACATCAGATCCTTTGAGCCAGGCAAAGTATCCATGCTCCTGGATAGACAGAATCAATATTATAAAAAAGATCATACTCCCAAAACTATTACACAGATTCAATGCAGTCCCAATCAAGAGAAAACAGTCCTAAAATTTGTGTGGAACATATGGAGACCCAGAACAGCAAAAGCAATTTTAAGCAACAAGAGCAAAGCAGGCAGCCTTACAATATCTAACCTCAAAGTATATTACAAAGCAACAGTGATAAAAATGGTTTGGCACTGGAGCAAAATAGGTAAGTGGATTGATGAAACAGAACAGATGATACAGAAACACCCCATTCACATTAAGCAGCTTGTACACCTACCAACAGATGAATGAATAAAGAAAATGTGGTACCTATATATAATGGAATACTATTATGCTGTAAAGAATGACAAATTTGAGACATTGGCAGAAAAATGGATGCACCTGGAAAACGTAATGCTTAGTAAAATAAAACAGACACACAAGCTCAAATGCTGAATGGTATCTCTCATTTGAGTGAGGCAAAGGACAAACAGAAAATAGCAAAGGATGGATAGAAACAGACAAGGAGATGAATCTCTTGCAGTAGCAAAGAGGGCCAAGGGAACAAGGGTAAGGGGTAAACAGGAGAGGAAGGGGAAACAAACAGAATAAAGATGTGCCATGGACAGACCCTAATAACCTCAATGATGTAAACGTTATATGTAATAACGTTAGCTAAAACTAATAAAATCAACAAGAATGAAAATTAAGGGGAATTAGAGGAGGAAAGAGGGGAGGGAGGGAAGGAGAATGGGTTTTTAAAAAGCTGTAGTACGTACATGTACCTACCCCCCCAAAATGATTGTGAACTGCATGTACTGTAAACATGTACAGCATTGATAATCTTTTTAAAAGTAAAACCAACCATATGACTAGGGCATGGAAGCGCTTAACCACTATGCCACTGTCTTCTGCAAAGGAAAATGAAATCAAGTGTGCAAAATTGGGACATGGGAGGAAGGAATTTCCAAAATAATTATTAAAAACAAATACAATAACAGAAGCATATCTTATATCTAAATATATGACACTCCAGCCCTTACAGAAGAGAAAATCCTGCCATTTACAATACCACCAATGGATCTGAAGGACACTGTGCTCACTGAATTTACCCAGGTACAAAAGGAAAAATACTGCATGATCTTACTTAAATGTAGCATCTGAAAACAACGACCTCACAGAAACAGAGACGGATGATCGCCACCAGGGGCTGGGAGATAGGAGCATGAGGGGAAGGGTGTCGAGGGGTTTATTTTGAAGAATAAGCTCTGCAGAGGTAGTGTGCAGCATGGAGACCATAGTTAATGATAACACATGAAATATTCGAAATTTGCTGAGAAAATAGATTTTATTATGTGAGGTGATGGGTGCCTTAATTACTTTGCTATGATAATATTTCACAATGGAGATTATAGAGATTGTATGTACATATACTTTATATATATAAAAATCACAAATTATACAGTTTAAATGTTTGGGATTTGTGTCTATTATACTTCAATAAAACTGGAAAGAAATTGTAAAAATAAAAAGGAAGAAAATATCTAGATTGCTTTACAGGAAACCTAAATCTATAGGAAGGTAATAAATTGATAAAGATATGATAAGCAAATACAATTTTTTTATGAATATGTTAGTTTCAAAAAAGTCACATTCAAATCAAACATAAGTAGGTCAGGTAGAAGTATTTGATGTTGATAAAAGGAAGTATCCATAATGAGTTTATAATAGGAGTGAAATTATATGTGTGATAGACCTTAGCATTTCCAAAAACAAAAAACTAAACCAAACCAAAGAAAAGCAAAAATCTCATGATACAATGAAAACTGACACATTGTTAATCAAAAAAAATCTACTTAAGCCGGGCATGGTGGTGCACACCTGTAATCCCAGCACTTGGGAGGTTGAAGTAAAAGTATCACTGTGAGTTCAAGACTAGCCTGAACTACATAACAAGACCTTGTCACAAAAAAAAATTTAAATAAGTCTTTGTTCAAACAAGATAAAAACTCAGTATATAAAATAATTAAATATTATACTTACTATTTTAAGTAAACAAATATAGGTATGTACATAAGATACATCAACTCAGACATACTTACAAGACAGAATAGTGGTTAAGGACATTGCCTACACAGCTATGTAGACTGAGTTCTAAATGTGCTTACCCAGCATAACTAGCTGGATCCTCGTATAATATTCCTACCATCTCACTCTTTCCCTTCTTACATGTTTATTATAAAACAGAGATGTAATTGTTATGGTGGTTAAGCAACTTTGTACTTATGCAGTACTAAAAATAGTGTCCAAGTCATAGTAAGTAATCAATATTTACTGCTATAACGATAAATACATATATACGGAATTTTGAACTTTATCAATATCAATAGAGGGCTGGGTGTGGTAGGGCACACCTGTAATCCCAGCACTCAGGAAGTTGAGGCAGGAGGATCACCATGATGAGTTCGAGGTTAGGCTGGACTACATAGTGAGACCCTGTCTCAAAAAAAAACAAAAAAAAAAAACAAAAAAATAAACAAAAAAAATAATCAATAGAGAATATTTTCAAATGTCTTAGGCATATTTATAAATAATAATAATATAATAAGACACTAAAATTCACTGAATTATTAAATATATAAACTATATAGAGTACATATCTAAGCACAATAAGACTAATTTATATTTAAACAAAACATCAGACTACAAAGATTTTTAAAGGCTTTCTTAAAGTCTTCTGAGTAAAAGAAATCAAAATCATACTTCTAAATTGTCTATAATATAACAAATTGATATCTTTATATCAAATGTGAGTGCTCATAGGAAAACCATAAAAGTTTTAGAATGTAACAAAGAACAGTATATTTGTGACTTCAGAACAGATAGATCATCTGTCGAAAAACAGAAAGGATCTTTCCAAAAAAACTAGTGGTCCATTGGATGGTAATAAAATTACGAATGGTAATCAAATTGTGAAACTGTGTTCTCCAAAAAGTCATCATTATAGAAGGATAGCTGAGAGAATTGTACTGCTGGTGTCTAATGGTTTATTGAAAGAAACAGTTAATACTTAATTTTTTTACCAGTTCTGCATGCTTATATCTGGTAATCTGAAAAACTAATTTGAAGACAACAATATGCAATATAATAACCATTGGTGAATTCTTATCATCTTGTGCAGTGAAACTCTGTATCATTTCTAATGTTTTCTTGTTTGTTTTTATTTTTTATTCTCTGTAATGTTTTGATCAATCTTGCATTCTTATATTTGGTAATCTGAGCAACTTTGCTGAAGATAACAATATGTAATATAACCACCACTGTTAATTCCTATCATTTTGTTCTGAAACCCTGTAACAATATGTAATATAACCACCACTGTTAATTCCTATCATTTTGTTCTGAAACCCTGTATCATTTTTATTGTTTTTGCTTTGTTTTGTTTTTGTCTGTGTTGTTGGTATTTTGCTATTTCTCTTTTTTACTGTTGTTCTCTTTAAAATAAAAAAGAAAGTGAAAAAGAACTCACAAAGAAGATAGTCATGATACATATACTTAACAAAGACCTCATACGCAGGAAAAAGAGCACTTTAAAAGCAATGTGAATATCATTTTTCCAGAAATGGAAAAAGAAAACCTTGAACAGTCATTTCATTAAAGAAAACATTTAAATGGTCAGTAACTATGAAAAACACTGACTTTGTTAATTATCAGAAAAATGCATGTTAAAACCACAATATGAGAACTTAGAGCACCCATCAGAATAGCTAAAATTTAAAGGGAGCGTCAATACTAAATCTTATCATGGATATGGAGTGATCCAGGAACACATACATTGCTAGTAGGAAAGATATTAGTACAGTCAACCTGGAAAATTGTTTGGGGTACCTATTAATTTTGAAAACAAACACTCCAGGTATATTCCCAACAAAAATTGATACATATCTACCAAAGAATGTGGACTAGAAAGTTCATAGCAGCCATACTTAGAATCCTCTATAATTAGAAATGACTCAAATGTCTTTCAATAGTTGATCAGATAAAATTGTGATGTATCCACAAGATGGACAATAAAAATGTAACTATGTAACAATAAGAATATAATTAACAATAAGAATGAGTAGATTATAAGTACACATCATAGGACTAAATGTCATGAGTAATACACTGCTGAAGAAGCCATACAAAAGGAGTACAAATTGTACTATACCATTTATAAAAAGTAAAGAAAAAAAGGTAAAATTAATCTATTCTGTTAAGAGTAAAGATTTTTTTCTCACATAGGAGAGACATGATTAGAAGGAAGGATCCAGGAAGCTAATATACTCTTCTCCTTTACCAGGCACAGATTGTACAAGTTCATTCAGTTGGTGGTTATATGAGCACGTTCAGGTTGCGAAACTTCATTGCGCTTCATACCCAGGGTATGTGTACTTTTCTCCACGTACATTATCTTTTAACAAAATAGTTTAAAATCCTGTGAAATCAAATCAAAAATTATACTCATAGGAAAATACAGAACATTTTATGCTTGACAATAGAATACCATTTAAGAAGTTATAAAACATACAACAAAATGAAACTAAAAGTAGAATCAGAAAGGAGGAATCAATAGTGGTTATCAACCATAATTAAATCAATTATAAAATATTAAATGCAAAGACTGACAAATAAATTTAAGCACACCAAAAAGATAGACAAGTCTCAGGAAATGTTAAATTGATTTTTAGAAAAGGAAATAAAACCTAAATTTAAAACATGACAAAGACGTTAGGAATGTTATCACAAAACACACAAGCTCTATTTTGGAATTACTGACATTTTGAGCCAGACTATTCCTCATGATGGGGAGCTATCTTGCACACTGTGGTACTGGAGACTGAACCCACGGTCTTTGCACTAGTTGCATTCCTTGCGCTTTTATTTTTTAATCTGAGACAGGGTCTCACTAATTTTCCCTGGTTGGGCTTGAATCTTTGATTTTTCTGCCTCCGTCTCCCAGGATGCTGGGATTACAAGCCTGCACCATCACTTTAACTTGTGTGGTTTTCATCTCATCAGATATTCTTTTCCTTTTGAGGAGAAATATACTTAGTCATTTCACTAAGATTACATTTAATAAGTGTTGTACCCTATATTTTCCATTCAGTGACCTACATTTTGTCATTCTTTTCTTTTTTTGTTTATGATACTATCTCTGCTTTAAAATGTCTTGATTTCTTTTCTACCTAAGCAAATTTTACAGCCTATTCATAATCCACCATTATCATAACTCTCTCTTCAAAGACTATCTCCCTTTGTACACTGGGAAGATCACCTCATACATGAATAGAAAGCCAAATTTACTTTTTTCCTCATCATTAACACAGGCAGCAGCTCAAAACTGAAGATTTATTCATGTCAAACCTCTGGAAATAAAGGTTGTATGGTTAGATCCTCCACTTTCTTCCCAATGTATGCTATTCAAACTTGAATTTACTCTCTATTCTGCATTCCTATTTTCCTGTGAATAGTGTGCAGTGAGGAATCTATATTTAATAGATTCCTGTCTCTCACCATATATAAAAGTAGATATATGTTAATTCGCTTGTGACTTTTCAGGCCTTGGCTAATCAGCAGTAAGAATTGCTGATCAATGAAAGCGGAAGAAAAGAAGGGAAGGAGGCAGGGCAAAAAACTGACTGTCCCAGCACGTGCCAGTAATAATCTATCTATGTGAACTTTGAGTTGAATGATTGAAGAGGACAAAAGGAACCCAAATATCCCTAAGCTAACCTTAAATTCCTTCAAAGGTGGAAATATATCATCACACATCCATTAAGAGAAATAAATTCTTCCTTTCTTTTGAAATAACTTTGTTTGTTACATTGCAGAATTTTGCTCTTTAAATTCTTTAAAAGCAGGAAAGCTACACTTGATCATAGATTCCCTCTCATTGTCTTGACTAAAGAGCTTTATAAATTGTTGTAGTAGTTCAATAAACAAGCACTAAACTGTGAGCTCCCCAAGGACAATGTGTCTTATTCAGTAATGGTTCCCAAGAGCCTCACTAATAGCAAGCAGGCGCGGCTGCCTACATTTGCCGGGGAATATATTTTTGTTAATTCTCTAAAGACCAATGGAATACATGTTCCCTTAATGTCCACCCACACGGCAAAACTGTGCGAAGAATAATAATCAGATAGATCTCAAAATTACTCATTTGATGTTTTATCCAAGTAGATGAAAAGAGCAAAAGCCTAAGAAAACATTGTCTCCTCAGAATGCTATTTGCCTCAGATCAATAATATGCAGAAAATATGATTACAAGATAAATGAAAACCATCTTGCCTCCAACCACAGAACAAAAGCAAAAAACTCATCTAACTTTTATCAAAAGAGCACTTTCCATTAAAAATGTGTTACTTGTAGAAGTCCTTTTTGGTGCCTTCTGTAGTTGTTCATTTTATATGCTAGTAACTCCTAAGATTAAGATATTCTAAAGTGTAATACTTGTTTAGAAATCATAGACTTAAATGGTCTTATGATTTGTCAATTTTACTAAAAGGCATTGTATTTCCTGGACCAACAAGACACTGATGTGATAATACTTTTTAAGGTTTTGTAACTGATGTGTCCTGGACATGCTATCCTCATATAAGACACTTTGGCATTTGAGAAAATAGAACTAGGAAGGTCATTCTTACCTTCCCACCCCTGGTCTCCTAAAGTAGGTCATAAAATGTAGAAAGAATTCTCTGACCTTGTCCCCTGGAGCAGGCCATAAAACCCAGCTATACTTTTCCTGAAGCAGGTCATAAAACGCTCTTTCTGCAGTGCCCTCCCTGTACCTGCAGGAAAAGTTGGTCCTTATCTCTGAAGTAACGGTGGCGCAAAGAAGAACCTAAACAAGTGGTCACGCTAAACTCTCTGTGTGTATTGCCCTGAGATCACACTCTCCTTCTTGCATTTCATGTCTATGTGGCTATTTGCTCTTCATCATCCGTCCTACAAATATACAACATCCCGTTCAAATACACAACATTCCCATCTCTCTGGGACTCCATCTCTGAGGCTCCTATGTCAGACAAGACTTGTATTACACAGAGTTGCATGTTTTTCTCTTGTTAATCTGTCTATTGTCATAGATTCCCCAGTCAGGAACTTCGCAGAGAGGAGAAAATGACACTACTTTTACTGCCCTGCGAAGTCAGTCTGTCAAATTGAACTTACAGGATACTAGACTTCAAGCCTCGCTCATTTCTTGTTTTCTTACCCCATGCTTGCATTTAATTCCAGATTTAGTTTAAGTTATCAATTGTTTTGTTTTAAAAGGTTGGTAAATTGGTTTAAATGTTTACTAAACACCAAATATGAGTGAATCACTCTGATGGGCACTTTATATATACTACCACATTTCATCCTTTAACAATTTCTTGGAGGATTATGTTTATGTTTTTATATATATACTTGAAGAAGCTAATATTCAAGTGATGAAATAACTATCATGGAAAGAGTTTCTCACTGTATCAGGGCTACTTACTTCCGTAGCGATCTAACCCCACCGTTTCAAATAGCATCCTCTTCATTGAATGTGGTCCAACCTGGTGTTCAGTAAACACACACACACACACACACACACACACACACACACACACACACATCCTTAATCTCCAAAAGAACTCTAGGTTTGTGAGCAATTTGCCTTAACCCTTTAGTCTCCTAGGTGAACCAATAGTTCCAAATGAAGAATAAGATCTAGTGAAAAGCACTACATCTGCTGGGGAATGTACGATCTGAGATCCATGCAGCTGTGAGAGCAGAGCCTCTGCTACCTATGCCGGACATCTTACCTCTTCTCAGTCTTACATTTCTTGTCTTTAAATGAAGTAAACCATCCCGTTACAGAACATATTTTAGTTTGAATTATAACATCTCTAAGAGAACAGGTGTATTTTGTAAGTGTCCTTTAACATTTCATCAGTAAATGGCAAGGTAGGGGTCTTGACCACAACCTTCAGAAAGAAAGCTTAGTTTCTCTACTACACTTTCATGTCAGTGGATTATATTCCAAAACCAAAATTTTTTAAGAAGGCAGTTTTAAAAATCATGACCGTGCTTTTATGATTTGACATTAAAAATGTGTGGCTCTCCTATTCAGCTGCGACTGTCCAAAGTGTACCAAATAAGAATACACAACATAAGATGCTCCAAGGGCAGAACAATTTAGCTATCGGACAATAATAAATTGCAATGACAGACAGTGCTGACCGTGTTGCATTTCGTGGCAAGAATGGTAAAGTCCTCACAGCTTCCCATTAAATTAATGAGAAACTTTGACCTTTTTGGCCAGCAGGAATGAGCAACGTAATGGAGACATCTGAGCCTCTCTTCTACCCTGGGAATGAAAGACAAGAGCGAAAGGGCGACCAGTTCAGTTAAGTGTCTGGCTCTCCACTCCCTCTGCCCTGGGCCGGGCTGCTCTTCCATTGCCCTCTCAGCTTGGTTTTTAGGACCAGCAGCAGCTAAATAGCCTTTTCTTTAAAAGTATTTTAGGCTATTTACTCTGCTTTTTCCTGCATGATGGAAAACCAGGAATCCCTCCAGGTCTCTAAAACTGTCCGGTAACAGTATCCTCTTACTTTGGATTCATAAATAGGATTTTCATTTTATAGTCTGCTAGCTTTTTATAATCAGTGATTCCTTGGTCTATATAAAAAGAGATAGAGCAATTAACTAAAAGGATTAAAAACTAAAATGTAATTGTGGGTTTTTCTGGAGTCAGAGTATGAAAACCAAAGAAATAGCATTTTAGGAATTAGCCACATGACAACCTGTGCAGACTGGAACAACTCAAGGTCTAGCTCTCCATTGGTAAAAGAATCAGTTGGATAAGATATCAGCTAAGTTTTTGACTTTTTACCAGACAAGATAAATATAAGGAATGGAGAGGTAACTTAGAAGTATTCCAAGATTTACTTCTACTGGTAATTTGGGAAGTTATTTAAACTTCTCTCTACAGTGCTTCCTATTATCTATCGTCTTACTTTGCTCTTTAGTTGTGCCCATGCGCGCAAGCACACACACACACAAACACATGGGGAGAGAATCCTCTTCCATCTAGAGACATGGCAAGAACGGTGTATACGGGGAGAGAATCCTACTCCATGTAGTACTGTATTATGGAACAGCCTCATTATAAGCCCTGGACATTGTTAATGTACTAGACAGCGGGGCACGCAGAATGTCTTCCACCCTGCTATGGTTCGTATTCATTACCACGGCTGCTTCGTCGACACTGATATTGATCAACCAGTCTTGACTTTACCTTACCTAACTCCATAGTTTTATTCTCTTAAACTTCTGTTAAAAAACAAAACAAAACACTTTAAACATCATTTTGAAAGAGTTCCCTACGTATACTCCTTGTACGCATAGACGATACAGTGACTCGTTTCCCCTTCGCGGAGTCATCCGCTCTGTGCTGTCTGCTAGTTGCGCAGGCCGCCTCGCGGCGTCCGCCCAGCCCTGAGTTAAGACCTCGCCCACAGACTGGGATGAGAGAAAAGATAAAAGAAAGAAGGGGAAAATTATGTAATGTGTGTACACAGGATAGCTAACACAGTTGTACTACTGACTTCTGCTTTATTGAAGGGAACAGTTTATGTTTAATTGTTCGATCGATCTTACAAGTCTATATTTGTTTACCTGAGTAACCAATTTGAAGATATCAATATGTAATACAACAATCATTGTTAATTTCCTGTCACTTTGTCTGAAATTCTGTATTGCTTGTATTGTTTTTGTGTTATTTTGTAAATGTATGTGTGTTTGTTAACATGTCTTCATTCTTTTATCCTTAACATAAAAACAAAGAAACCTCACCCACAGGATGAATGGAAAACTGAAGGCAATTTATGGGCTGCAATAAAAGTTTTTAAAGTTTCAAGATCGACAATATTAACATTTATGTGGAGAAATACAATGGGTTTGGCTAGCTCTGTATGTTCCAAGATTTCTGAGAAAACTCAAACTTTAGTATCAGAGGTTTTTGGGTTTTCATAAAAGTCTGTGAAGAAAAATAGCAACATTGACTGCCTATTATTTGATAAGTCCTTCAAACATATTAATATGTTTAATACATATTGGCTCTAAAAGTGTTATGAGTTCTAAATTACAAATAAAGGCTAAGTAACACACCGTGACTATTTGTCCTTTGATTTTTCCAAGAATGAAAAATAAGAATTCATTTTCAAGATGACTGATCAATCTAGAATCACAGTCCCCACTTTGCTCTTTATGGCTTGAAAAGGGATGAGCTTTTGCACTCTATCTCTGCTTCTTTTGGAAAATAGCTCTTGTGTGTTCCCTTTCTTTTCTATCCTTTAAAACTTCTTTTTGTCTCTCCTTCTCAGCTCAAAGCTCTAAACTCTTTTCCATCTACAAAGGTTTTGAATTTAGTAACAAGTTATTATTAGAGTTAGCATTTATTGAGTACTGTGCAGCATAAATCATTTGCAGACATCCACTTATTTAATGCATTGTACATATAGGTACTGTAATAATAGTATGTATGGGTTTGAAAACCAAGTTAAAGAGATTTGGCAGTCTGTCTAAGGTAAATTTGTTGATTCTTGCTGAGGAAAAAGTCAATCCCGTTTCTCTTTATGTATTTTGTGTTCTTAGCCACTATGAAGAAATCTAAGTCTGTCGAAGAAATACATGTAAAACGTTTTGTTTAGTAAAGGGAATTTAATTATATTCAATTTATATATTTAAAAAAATACTTCGTTTTTCACATTCTAAAATGTCTCAACTTTTGTGCTCTTTAAAAAAACTTCACCTAGGAAGAACTGGTATTATGGTATACTACTGCCACCTAGTGGCTACTAATAACCCACACACTAAATTCTTCGCGGTTGAAAATCTGAGATGTAATGTTGACATTGAAGGGGAAAGTTTGATTTTATTATTTACCATAAACCTGAACTATCTTAAAAGTGAATAAAAAGATTTATATTTATCCCTGTGCATGTCATGAGAGAAATGTTAGTGTTAGAGGCCTTTAAACAAATTTAAAACGAATAAAAGTGAGCATATCAGATGCAATGTGAATTTCTCTTTAAGGTTCATAAGCTTTTGAGTCAACACAATTTTACATTACCTTGCATGCTTTGAAAAGTTATGAAATCGCCCTGTGAATGTAGTGCAGAGCCTAATGACAAGTCCCTCACACTGAGCAGAACCAGCTAATACTCCACTCATCTGAGCATGGATGCTGGTGCTAGGCACAGCATCCTGCATTTTATATTGCATGAAGATTAATGTATGCACTGCAGTTATATTTTTCTTTATTTTGTTTGTTTCTATATTTGTTCAAACTTTTCTTTATTTGTTGGCTTTGTTAAATCACTGGTGCCAGAGACCTCTGTCTACATTGGAGACCAAATTCCTCGAGCTTAAAGATTCAAATATATTTCAACTCATAAAGAGGCAAAAACTTCAGTTCTTTCTTAGCAAATATTTGTTGAGTTTCAGTGAGGTGCTGCATATATATACATATAAGCTTCAAATTAGAGCTCACTATAGAAAGCAGAAACATTGGCAAATATAATGTAACATCGGACTGGTGGGATTCAGGCTGTGCTGCCCTAGAATATGGCACCTGGGTACTGGAGAAAATGGAAGAAGCAGGAAGATTGCTCTCACTTTCCTCTTGCCCTCCTCCCCAGAAGCAGGCCTAGAGTCTAGCAGGGAGAGAGGGAAGGTTTACACTCTAAACTTCCCCCACCCTTCTTCCCTGAAACATTTATATGATCTTCAGATGAGAGGTGCTGTCTTGAAGCCAGGAGAAAGGAGCATATTCATCTCTGAAGACACAGAGACACGAGGTAAAACTTGAAGAAGCAGCCTTGCTAAGTTCCCCCACTTTATTACCATCACATCACGCTTCCCACTGTCCATCAATTTCTCCACAACGGTACATTCTGCATCAAACCGAAGCATAAAATACACAAGTGTACTTGTTGCTTTGTGGTTTCATTTCCAAACGCTCCTGTATTACATGAAATTATTTTATGCAAATTTGTACAATTTCTCCTTGTCTTTTGTTATAGAGTCCTCAGCCATGAACATTAGGCAAACAGAAGGAAGCATCTCTCTTTTCTCCTACATGGCCTTGTAAGGAATGAGTGGAGAACAGTAGCTCCTTGGTCATATCTGTCTCTAGAGCCTAGCAACTAACTCACATGTGGTCGAACAGCCAGCTCTTGCTGGAGGAATGAATGAAGTAGCATAAATGAAATAACAACCAATGTACTAGACACCAACAACAATCTGAGAGGTTGCAAAAAGGCTGGAGAAGGAAACTGGGCTGAAGTGGGATTCAGCATGTGCAGTTATGATGGGTGAAGCAGTGTTTCAGACAGATATCAGTGGTACAACGACCTAGAAATGACCCTAGAATTATTTAATTTGAGCCACTTGAAAAATAAGGAAACTACAGATTAGGTGGTCTGCTAAAAGGCACATGGTAGGTAGAATTAAACTGAAATAAGATTGGCCTAAAGCAGCTTCCATACAAAGCAAAAAATTCTCTAGCTTAGTACATAAACAAATTGTAATCAAACAGCTGAGTGTCAGCCAATCACAGGCTATCAACTGATCAGACTACAGCCAAAGAAGACGGCCATCAATTGTAGCCACTTAAGTTGTTTCTATATTGCACTTTCATGTGTAGGAATTCTGAACCATCTTTGGTTGGAATGCTGCCCCATTCTGGAAACGTTTTTCTTCCTCAAGGAAACTTTTTAAATTTAACTAAGCTCAATTTTTCTTTTAACAGCACTGGTACAAACAAGTTTAGTTTAGGTCTTCCAGCTTCCCATCTGATCTTCTCTGCTTTATACCATGCAACTGTGAATAATCTTTTCTGTAGAAGGGGAGAACAGAAAGGGGTTTAATTTGTAACAGTGTGGGGCAAAAAGCCATTGAGAAGGGCATGTTAAAAGGCAAATCTGCAGTATTCAGCTAGTGGTTGGAGACAGATGGACATTAAGGATGTTTATGTTATAAGCAACAGAGCAAAGCAAAGAGGAGAAGCAAAAGCAAACCCTCAGCTGCAACTTCAGAGCCCCTTGTCTGGTAGTGATACAGCAGTGAACTCGTGCTACCACGGGTAATAAGAGAAAGAGCCATGCAGAGAAAGGATATGTCACCCAATAGTTAAGGAAAACCTCGAGGCATAATTAAGCCAGTACTGACTTAAGGCCCATTTATTGAGGAAATAAATGACAAAATGCTATGATAGGAGAACAAAAACATGAAGGAAATGATTTCTTCTTTCAAGTAGCTTATGTTTGGCTTGAGAACTTTAAAAAATACCTGTAAATATGGGCTAGGCAAAGCTCCCAGGGCAGCAATAGCACAGAGAGGTGACATCTTGGTATATGAACTCTAGTTTTAGTCTAAAGAAGCCCAGGTTCTATTCCCAGCTGAGCTGCTAAACAAGTGTGTATCCAGGTACTGCTGAAACTACACACTGCTTGTGCTGATTATACGTTATTGTCATCATACACTTGTGGTGTTTCCAGCTAGTGGAACCAAATATCTTGAGGAAGACAGGTCTTTTAAAAATCCTCCCAAGTAGCCAGTCTTGCAGTCGAGAGGATTGGCATCCACCACTCTTTGTACTTCAGGTTCTTTGCCTCTGCATGAGGGAGTCAGTCTTTCAACAATCCATGCAGTATTCCATCCTACTTAATCTGTTCATGTGAATCAGGATCTTTTAGTTGGCTACTGAGAGAAGGTAAGATAGAGAAAACTATCAGTATGCTTTGTGTGGTACCAACCTTCTGCCACCAAAAGCCACAGGTGTGTCTTTGCTCCCACTCAGACAGGAAATTATTCAGCTGTGCTGACATCCTTCAAAGCCAGCCTCTACTTTGAGTCCTTCTGAAAAGTCCTGAAAAGGTTTCTCCACCTTTGTGGTCTGTCCTCACTGAGAGATGAAATGATCGGCATCGATATCCTCATTTGTGATGTTTTTGCATGGCTTTCCTCTCCCATTGCTCGCCTGTTATTCTTGAAGAAAATATCAGATGAAAATGCTGTTGTTCTTGGGAAGTTGAAAGTGAGGAAGAGCTACAGAGAGTGGAGCTCAGCCTCGAAGAAGCTTCTGACTGAGAGGCGCTGAAGGAAAAGCTTTTTCACAGATGGCATAAGAAGCCCTTCTTGGCTAACTATGTGGAACTTTAAGAAAAAAGATGAATAGGCCTTAAATAGGGTCCAAGGTGTTAAATTTTATTATAGTTTTAACTTCAGTTAGATTTGTTTAGGAATGGCAAAGGGATGTGGAGGATGAAACATCCTTATTTGAAATGATATGGGCAAGAGGCACTCACATTTCAGAATGCTGCACAACCGAACAAACAGCTTGGCAGTTTGTCCTCTGAAATTGTTTTTACAATATGACATTAATACAATCTAAAATTCAAAGTCAGTGATAAGTAAGCTTTGGTGTTTGTGCAGATAAGAAAACAACAAAATAACTGTAAGATTATAACCTGGAAACCCCTTAATGGTGAAAGGTATAACCAAAGAAACAAGAGGGCTTTTTTTAGAAATGCTAGCAATTATCTCGGTTTTAGAATTAGAAAGTGTCTCGTGCAAGACAGGCAACACGCTTCCCTGGAATGTGAGGTCAGAAAGGTTTTGTGTGCTGGATACAGGAGGAGTTAGGAGGAATAGGGCATGTGCACACACACACACACACACACACACACACACACACTCTTGCATATAACTTTGGAGAGAAGTTTAGTGTTAGTTACTTACTCGTTGCTGAGACACAATACCTGACACCCACAACTTTAAAAAAAGGAAAAGTTTAGCTTGGCTCACAGGTTGTAGAGGTTTCAGTCCACAGTCAGGTGACGCTGAGGCAGGGCAGTGCGGCAGAGGGGAGCGGGAGAGGAGAGCAGCTCATGGCATGGGAGTGGGAAGAAGAAAGAGAGGGACTACGTAACAGGACCCGCCTAGGCTACACCCTAGTGACCTACTTCCTCTAACCAGGCTTTGCCACTCACACCACATTGAGCTCTGAATCATCAGTGAACTAATCCACTGGTGAGTATGGGCCCCGTGATCCAATCCCCTCCCAAGTACCCCCTCTACGAGCACATGAGAGATTTAGGGG